AAAAAAACCTTGTGATTAGGATACAGTTTTTTTTACTGTAAGATCAAATCGAGACAGAGGTATATTTACGTAAGGCACGGCGGTAGGAAAGTTTGCTCCATTACTACACTGCATTTCAATTTTCTTTATGGTAACGAGTTTTATAATCTCTATGTTCCCTGCTCACATATTCATAATTTTCTTTATATTGCTTAACTTAAGATAATACCCATTTTTTATCCGTTTTCTTGCATAATTTCAATTCCCTTTTTTTTCGTATTTCTTTTATAAATCTATTGGCGACAATAGCTTTTTTCCTTAAGATAGTTACGCTATTACGTGCTATTTGTATTATGATCTGGATCAAGTTTGTATGGAAAAAAAAGCCCAAAACTTTACCAACTATTACTGTTTCTCTCTTTTCTCACTTTATTTATTACTTTTTATTATCAAATAAATCCTATGAATAGGCTTTCTAAGACTTCGATATTAACTTAAAATTGCAATATTAAAGTATGTAAATTTATATCATTAGCTGATTTTTTTGAGGGAATAATTAGCTGATTAAATATAATAGAATGTTGTAATTATGGAGAACTTTAACCATAAATATTGTCATGCAATTAAAAAAAAAGAATTTCTTATACAATTCTAACCTTTATGCGTTTGGCAAATCAGTCTCTCAATTTTTAAACTTGGCAATTTACCCCTTAAACTTTTAAATTTATTGAAATGTTGATCAAATTGAAAGCAAAGTTAAAATTTAGATAGTTTCTTCCACATAAACAGTTAGTGAGGCTATAATTCTGATATTTTTGCATCGAATTGGTCCCTATGTGCAAATCTTGAGTTTTTCTTTTGAAATTGAGGGTTAACCATTTTGGGAAATATTTTAGGTTCCCTAATTTCAAAAAAAATTTTAATGGTGTGCACATGGGGACTAAGTCAATGTGAAAAGACCCGAAGTGCTCTCATCAAACACTCATGTGGAGGAAATCATCCCAAATTTAAACTTTATTTTCAATTTGACCAACATTGCAATAATTATAAAGTTTAAGGGATAAATTGCCCAGATTAAAAGAGACTAATTTGTCAAACTCGTAAAGTTAAGGGGGAATCAAAAAAAAAAATCCTTCATAAAAATTACAATACTTTCTTATTCTTTAGAAATTAGTCTTGATGTTTATTTTTATTTTATTATAAGTTCAAATTTTTTTTTTGTGCCCTACTGAAATAAAATCATAGATGCACCACTGAATTGAGGTATTTTTAGTTTTAAGATCAATTCAGAATCATATTAAATCTTTCCTGGACTTCCGGTCGAATAAAGGCGACCGTATTTACCCGATTGCTTTAAGAGAATTATCTCCTAGTTCCACCTGTCATATCCAAAACTATGGAACTCATCTGAAAAATCGATTTTCTAGATCCAAACATGAACTTTGAGAATAGGGGTATAAAAGTTAACCACCTAGAATCGATCCATGACTTCTGTTCTTCATTCCCCTTTGAAAGAACTAAAAAAAAGAATGTAAATTGAATACTTTCAACGCTCATGCTATTTGAAAGAGCTTTCAACATAGAGTGGAGACTCCATAACGTACACAAAGAGTTACTGATCCATATGAATATTGTCCTAATTTAAGTCTTGTTCCACAACGACAAAGTATTACACGTTTACAGTATTGATAAACATACTACGGTTAAAAATTGCATCTTATTATGTTCATTTTTTTCTAATTGCAATCTAATGGTGATAGATATTTACATATATAATATATGTACACTAAAATTTATGCTAGTACTCGTAAAGTTTTTTGTTTTTTTGTCATTTTAATTTCTAACTACCACCAAATCCCACTAGGCTCGTGTGATTTAAAGTGGCAAGCTAAGTAGGTACAATAGTCAGATAATCACATTTTTAATTCAAACAACAAATATCTTATTATTCTTCTTTTACCAGTCTCTTTCAAGGTTCTATTCATGCATTACCGACCATAATCATTTTTCTTCTCCCCAGCTGTGACATCTAGTGGTCCATCTTATAAGGTGAAAATTTACCACTTGCTATCATATCATGTGTTTTGGTCCTCTTGCATGTTGAAATGTTTAGAGTCGGTGTTAACCACATTCTATAAGAGACGAACGGGTCTCATACTATAAAATTGGATTGACCTTTTATTCATTATAGTGCGCATAATGGTATCATCGATTAATTTGAATTGGCATTTCTTCATATTTTAACTCCGGGCCCACTTCCAAAGCATCATAACTCAATACATGAGTTGGATCTGATACGTATTTTTGCAATATTGACGCGTGAAATACGTTACGTTACGTATACTAAGTGCTAGTTTGTAAGCAATTTCGCCGACTCGTTCGAGAATTTCAAAAGGTCCAACATAACGAGGGCTCAACTTCTCTTTCTTGCCAAATCGCACTCACTATTCCCTTCATTGGCGTGACTCATGCAAAAGCTAATCACCCACTTGGAATTCTAGTGGTCGTCGTGGCACGTCCGCACAGCTTTTCTGACGATCTTGAGCAGCTTTCATTCGTTGTTGAACAAGTCTTGTCTTTTCTGCTGCTTCATCTATCTTTCTTGGGCTAAAATACTTCCTTTCTCCGACCCCATACCAATATAGTGGTGATCTGCATCAACGAATATAAATCTAAAGAATATAGAAAAATATATGCATTTAAATATAAGAATAACTCTATTTTCATATAATTTTCAATATATATTCACCACCAGGTGGAGATTTGTGAAGTATTGCCTCTAATTGTTTTAAGTTGGATGGCAATTATTTCAGTTAATTAGTTAGAGGAGCCAAGTCAGACAACTGCAGCCTTTAATTTGGTTTATGTGACTAATTGGTCCACGTGTAATGTTGAGATTGGTCTGGGTTATCTTATTTAGAGCTCGTTTAGTTCGCTAATTTGAGTTTTTAATTCGAGTTGAGATGTGATTTTATGTAAGAGTTTTTTACTGTAATAAAACTCAAATTTTAAACTCGAATCGGTGAAATGAACGGGGCCTTAAAGGTGCTGTGTAAAGTCTAAGTAACTAATTCTGTTTTTGCTTGGAGAGTGCCCTGATATTTGTGAGAAGGGATTTAGAGAGAAAACTGCAAGCTTGTTTTCTGGGTTCTTTTACTGGGTTTGAGGGTGTGTTTGTTTCTCGAGAAAATCTTTGTATTGTGAGCGGTGTGAAATTCTCTTTTGAGAGTACTACTGAGGGTGTAATCAGCATCGAATAGTGGATTTGGCTGGGTTAATTAGAGAAACCCCCCTTGGATGCAGGATTGAAAAATCCGAACCAAGTAAATTTGTGTGTTCGTCTTCTTCTTCTCATCTTCTTAAATTTCTACGTTTCTAAGATCGTGAATTAAAGATTTGGAGAGTAAATCCTCAAAATATCAATATCTCTATCTCGGAGTCCTCTATCTTAGAGTCCCCGCTTCGATAGCCAAGATAGCTATCTCTCCCATTAAAAGGAATGCCCATTAAAATCTTATCAGAAATAAAGTGACCGTTTTTATTCCATAGATTGCAGACTATTTATTTAAAATATTATCTTACAAGCATATCTTTCTGCATATAATCCCTATATATACATGATTTAAGATTTAGCATCAATAGTTTTGGTACTTTAGTTTGCTTGTCATAAAATAAACCATAATGAAAGTATATAGGACACACTAATAAGTAATAATTAAGTAGATATCTTTATCTTTATTGATTTAAAATGTCAAAAATACATCAAATGTATATAATTCTTAAAGGCAACAGATCAAACAGGTTTAACTATGAACTAAGAGAGTTACAAGTGAGCTCGTGCCAAGAATAAGACTTAGAGCTCCCTTGTAGCGTTAGCCCTATGTTTATAGTATACATAAATCTGTTGTTTCTGATTTACTCGTATAGATAATTCATAATCATCTCAAATTTCGTTTTTTTCGATTGTTGCCTGGTTCCATCGTGATCTCCTTATTGACGTTCGCTTATTTGAATTAGAGATATGCAAACTGCTTAATCTCAATCCAAAATTTTACATGATTTCAAATATGGGGCGTGGTTTTATCTTTTAGCCAGCTCGGATATTGGCGTAAAACCGAAAAGTCCACGTGTCACAATGTTGCCCGATCTTATCTGTGGTTGAGTATAAGACCATGTTCATTTTACCGATTTGAATTTTCAATTTTACTTTTGTTACAGTTAAAAGTTCTCTCAAAAAGTAACATTTAACATTTTTTGCTACAGTTAAAAGCTCTCACATAAAGTCACATCTCAACTCGAATTGAAAATTCGAATCAAGGAATTGAACGAGGCCTAAATTTTTACCCACTTTCGACTTCATCACTGAAAGGTGTAGAAACATGTAGCTCGGTGAGCTATCAACCATTCTCAAAGCATCGTCAAAAAAGTAATACTCGTACGTGATCTATCCATTTCAATTCCTTTCTCTTGGCAAACAAGCAAGTTATAATTGACAATTATCTCATATATAATTTTACCAAGTCATGCATATATATCCACCATCTCTATACTCGCAAAATGTTTCTTTAGGAAATTTCCTCGAAAGAAGCACAACGCATAAAAATAGGAGGGAAACTATTTGAAGTCAAATAAAATGTGGTCTGCTTCTATTCTTTTTTCTTTCTATTTGCTTTTGTACTATATTCTTACAAACACACACGCACACACACACACACACACACACACATATGCTTAATGTGAACCTTTAGATATACCATAGTTGCTAATTAAACACTGAAGTATACACTGTGCCGTTACGTAATTTACAACAAGTGATTGTATACAAAACAAGTTGCGACAAAGTAAACTCCCCAACAAGGAAATTTCCTGAAAAGAAAACACAACTAGTACACATATAATATGCATAATGCAACAAGAATGAATGACTTTCAAAAACACTGTTTGGATTATAATAATGACAGCTTTGGTAGCAAATATCCGCTTAGCAATAGTATATTATATAGAATGGAACGTTTAGAGAACCAAATATCAAGTTAGAACTCAATCCAATATCAAAGAATCTTGGAATCCAAAACTGCACGTTCAAGAAACACAAGATGCAAGAGCCTCTAGATTCATATCCAATCTCGCAAGACCTTCTTGAGAAACAAAAGCAATACCAAGAAGATCAAGAGCCACAACCTAAAACCCTAACCAAAGCTAAGAACAAGAGAGTAGCTCTACTCCCTCTAATCTTTCTCATCTATTTCCATGTCTCCGGCGGTCCCTACGGCCAAGAGTCAGTCGTGGGGGCGGCTGGGCCCTTCTTTGCTATCCTTGGCTTCATCGCGTTCCCCCTTCTTTGGAGTGCCCCGGAAGCTCTCATCACCGCCGAGCTCTCCACCGCCTTCCCCAACAACGGTGGCTTCGTCATATGGGCCCATGCGGCCTTCGGCCCCTTCTGGGGTCACCTCATTGGGTCATGGAAGTTCTTCAGTGGTGTCATAAACCTAGCCACTTTTCCTGGCCTCTGCATAGGCTATGTTGAGTCCATCGGGCCGGGTCTTGTCTCTTCGACCCTGACCCGCTTTTCCGTCGTTTTCTTTTCCACTTCAATCCTTTCTTTGATGAATTTCACTGGTTTACATGTGGTGGCTTATGCTTCCATACCTTTGGCCATATTATCACTCCTTCCATTTTTAGCACTTTCTTTCATTGCCATTCCCCAGATTGATCCTAGCAGGTGGGTTGTTGTGAATCAAGTTGGTAAGGACAAAGAATGGAAACGCTTCTTTAATTCCCTCTTATGGAACTTGAATAGTTGGGACAGTGTTAGTACTATAGTTGGCGAGATAAAAAAGCCAGAGCAAACTCTACCGAAAGCACTTGTCTCATCCATGGGGCTGACTTCTATAGCTTACTTGATACCTCTTCTGGCTTGCATTGGAGCCATAAAAATTGACCTAGACGATTGGATCGACGGGTACTACGCCGTTATAGCGGAGGATATTGCCGGGCCATGGCTGAAAAGGATGATCAAACTCGGGTCGGTGATATCTGGCTGCGGACTCTTCCAAGCCCAACTGAGTAGCTGTTCCTACCAACTTCAAGGCATGGCGGATCTGGGAATCCTGCCTCGGGTTTTCGGAAAAAGATCGGCGTTTTTCGACACCCCGTGGGTCGGGATCGTGCTCTCAACATTCATAGGCCTGGTCGTTTCCGCACTCCGACTTCAGAACCTGAGGATCGCGGTGAATTTCTTGTACAGCATGGGAATGTTTCTGGAGTTTGGCTCATTTCTTTGGTTGAGAGTCAAGTTTCCTGAGGCGGCAAGGCCGTTCAAGGTTCCAGTAGGACTTTACGGCCTCATAGCGATGTGCTCATTTCCGTGTGTTGTTCTGTTGTACTTGATTTTCGTCGCTGGCCTAGGTGTTTATTTGCTGTGTTCTGCGCTGACATTGCTTGGGATTGTTTTCTACTTTTTGATGGGCGTTTTCAAGTCCAACATGCTTCTTGACTTCAACAACAACGAGAAAAAGCTAGTGGATGATAATATGGGGTAAGTAATTCATTTTGATTTTCTGGGTTTGCTCAAATATTTCTTTTTTTTATTTACTAGTGTTTTCACAATTGTATTTGTACCAACAATATAATCCAAGTATAATGCTTTTTTTGCCACCCTTTTTTTTTTTACACAACTTTTTTTATATTATCAATAAATGATTTTTAGATATTCTAACACTACTAACCCGTTTTTTTTCTTTTTCCCCCGTGTTGCAGACATTATGAAAAAATTGTGAAATAAGGAGGACGATTCTTATATTTTAGTGTGTCCAAACGATATATTTGTGGCTAATTGTGGTGATGCATGTTTAGTGATTGGAATATATATATATATATATATACTGTGGATGTACATTATATAAAGCCTCTGAAAATGTAGTGTCATGAGTTTCTTATGATCTGCTTATCTATGTATTTTTGTACGGGAAATAAATTATTGTAATCCATCTTATGATATATAAGTACTACATCCAAGACGCGATAGTTTGTTTAACGTTCCTAATCTTGCAACTCCTTTGTTTTTCTCAATGATTAGAGTGGATAAACTGATTTTATTGATCACTAGAAATTCCAACAAAACACTCAATCCTCCACCAAATTCCCTACTCAAACTTATTAAAATGAATTAAGAAAAAAGATAAAATTACAAGATGAGGCTAATGCAAATATCCACCGAAAGAGCTATAAAACACTAAAAAGAACATAGACTTGTGCCCATCAGACAAGGCTAACAAAGCCTAAAAGGAAAAACAAGTAAACCACCCAACCACATCTCGAAGGATCTACCCTATAGAAAAGATTTTATATATATATATATATATATATATATATATAGGATTCGTCATTAAAAATATTGTCTAGTAAAACTTTGGGGGAAAAAACTCATACAAGAAAAAAGAATACACGATCATGGCAATTAGTGTTAAGTGATAAGAATGGCCTAAAGCATCGTCATTATTAAGAGAATGCAGAAACTCGAGAGCCAAATGTCATGATCACTGAAAAGAGGGTAGGTAACTTGAATTTGAAATTTAAAAAATGTGCTAAATTACTAGGTAAATGAAATTTTCACACAACGCTATATATTAACGATGATATAAAGTTTGCGATCAGTAAACTTTTGGGTTTCTTTGTTTTCCACGGTACTGTTAACCATGAATCTTTTAGCGACAATGCAATGTCGTCATTGAAGTTCCATGTATGTCGTCACTAAAAGATTTTAGCAACACCTGACAAAAGTTTGGTGGGACTACAAGGCCCACATAGGGCCGAAACCGATTTATACAATTTCGTGAATTTTAATAATTTTTTGGGTCGCTAAATCATATTGTTTTATTCTTCAATGTGCTTTGTGTTTCTAATTAATAAGCTCCTAATTAGATGAAAACTGGAAGGAGATTTATGTGTTAAGCTCATTGTGTTGACGCCATAAATTGCACGTGAGATAGGAATATATTTTCATAATTTGTGTAGTCAATCCATCGAACTTAGTGAATTCTTGATTGTTTCAATTCACATTGGAATATAGTGAATTAGAAATTGAGGGCGTCTTTGTTAGACCTTGGCAGAGGCTAGTTAGGGATTATCAACTCTTAACTAGGAGATTAATTTGGGATATGAGAAAAAGAATTCAAAGTGAATTAGTTATAGTGAAATGGGAAACCCTAGAACATTAATTTAATTAGTTTATCATTTTCTTACTTTCGTGTTTTCTTTAATTATAGTTCTATTTTATTTCGTAACCATCATCATCTTTATTTAGATTTGTTCAAATAAAAATTTAGGGTTAGCATAATTTCGGTAATCAATAATAATCAATTTTTGTGGGGCAATACTTTCTTATTATTGTATTACTTGTTAACGATAATGTACACATTCACAAAATTTGAAAGAATCAAGAAATGTCAAAAAAAAGTGCTTGTTGATGTTTATCAAATTTATAATTAGTAACGACTCGATCTGACAAGGCGTTACTATTTGGTTTTCATAGCATAAACATGAAACATATATGTACTTAAAAGAATGTATTAAGAAAAATTTTACGATAAAATTTTCTTTTTAAAAAAAAAGCATTAAGGTTAAAGTACATAATTAAAAAGTTTGAACATCAAAATAAAAATTGAAAATACTTTTAAAATGGAACATCTTGCGTTGTGATAATCTCTTGTTGTTAGAACCTTTAATTGATAGTTCCTATCTTGGAACTTAACTTTTTTTATGAGGATTCATCTCCTTTTTTGTTAACTTGATCGGTTCTAACAAACAAAAGAGGTTCTCATTGAGCTTGAAAGAAAACTTGTTGCAAAACTTGAGGGAAACATAAAATTATATAAGTATTTTAAATAGACCACTTTTTTTATAAAGTCTCTTAAACATTTATTATAGGTATATCTTGTTTAAAATGTTATTTTCAAGGAAAACTCTTTAAAATGGAAATAAAGGAAATTAAAACTTGTAATTCCAAATTAGGCTTTTTGGACCAATTTCCCCACTTACTTAATTCCTTAGATAATTACTGGATACTTAATTAAATAGGTTCATGTTGGTTTAGTTTTATCTTTAGCTGCTTAGTAAATTTGCTTAAATATTACAATCCCAAAATAATAAACATAATCTCAAAATAAACTTTCAGAAGTAATTTGTGCTATCACCCTTGGACCAAATGCACCTACTCTTGGATTAATGGTTGTTTCCCTGGCTCTACAATACAAGCCAAAATAGTGAGCTAACACTCAGCAAGTACAAGCTAATAACTCACATAAATAACATAGGTAGTTTCATATATAGATGGTTTATAAAACATGTAAATCTTGTCTTGAAAACCATAAATTTAGGTCCTGTGTACGTACCTTGTGTGCAACCAACGGGTGATTGGAGGAGCGATCCTAATCAAGTCAGCCCATGGCATCATAACATAACATGAACATAAAGAGACTTCGGTCTCGGAACATAACATGAACATGGAGAGAACTTGGTCTCAATACGACGCTTAAAAATATCTCTTTGTTTATGCCTTGTATTAAAATCACGATAAGAAAGTATGTCACATCAAATGAACTTGAAAGTCAAGTAACATAATTAAATCACATAGATAGGCATAAACAACTACATAACATCATCGATAATTTTGTAGTCTATTTATACATATCATTGTAGATATACTTTATACGTGTGTTATAGGTGAGTACTTGTACTTACCTTTCATGAAGAAATCTAATCGTGAACAAAATAAGGATTGGGATCCTTGATTCTACGATGTGCGTGATCCTGTTATCACATTCACCATAGTTAATTTTGAGCCTTTTCTTTTGAGGCACACACTTGTCTACAATCACGTGTGTCGGGCCTATGGACTGATTACGGCTTATGGAATAATTTTGTTCTCGCGAGTTTAGATAAATGGTGAAAGTCAACTGTTGGACTTCCACCCTTTGGATTAGAATTTTTAAAAAGCGGTGTTGAGTTCAACTTCTTAAAAGGGCTATTTAGTAAATAATCTCTAAACTCAACTTATAACACGAACTTTAAGAAATTGATAGATTCACGTAACTATTTCAATTAGGAACTATTCATAAATAACTATTGGCTTTAATCCCATCACAAAACATCTTACATTTAGGCTGGTCATATATCTAAATCAAACCAACATAATAAAATCAAAATATAACATTCAACACTCAAAATTATAATGTACATATCATTTTGTCATCTTTCATTATAAATCTACCTAACAATTAACTTTTCTAAAGACCATCATTGCATAAACATCTTGACTATATCAAGCTATAAAATTTCACAAAACTTGTCCCAAGTCTCAAGTCTAACAAAATTAGAAAAGTTGGTCTTTTAGCACAAACTCTATCATTTGGGCAGCTTCGACCTCTGTTACGAGAAAATTTATAATAAATTGTAGGAAATTTCAAAAATTGCAAAACTATTGCCAAATCAAAGTAGAATTATGGGGCTTCATTTAGAGCTATTATATGCTAGGTTTCAAAATCATTAGACTCATCAAGATTAGTTCGAAATCCAGACAAAAATTTCTGTCAAGAATTTGACACTTTTTTTGCATGAACTTGTAAAAATCATAACTAATTCTAGAAAATCCTTTTTCTGTGATTCTTGAACTCACTTAAAGTTTAAGATGTCTAGACAAAAAAAAATATAGAAAAGATTCAGAAAAACTTAAAATGTAAAGCTGGTTCAGAAACTCATTCATGTTCATTTCAATACACATATAATATGCAAATTTTTATGTTTAAAACTCACATGCAAACCCTTGGATCAACATCCTATTTCGAGTTCATTAAGTTCAAATCAACCAAAACTCAATCCAAAGTCATAAGACTAACATATTTAACCTCAACATCAAAGCTCTAAATTAGGTTAAGAGTCTTAGCCTTGAAGATTAATCGATAGTTCGGTTTTCTATCAGCTCAAACTTGTAGCTTTAAGGGTGAGGATATGGCTGGTCATGGATGAATGCACTTGAGGAATAATATTGAAGAAAAAACACAAGAAAATTCGTGTTAGTTGATGCTCATAGAAGAAAATATCTTAGGACAGTGATTGAAAGAACGACCTTACCAAAACCCAACTCTATGTTAAAGAAGCTTAAACCTTCTTCTCGGATTTCATTTTGATAGCAACTTTGGAAGGATTTTTGGGCTACCAATGTTTAAAACAAGGGAAAAAGTAAGGATTTGCTTCCTCTATGGATTAGGAAGAGAAAGGATGGAGAAATTTCAAGGTTGGAGGTGTGGAAAAGGTGGTTTTTTTGTAAGGGGTTGAGGAGAGAGTGAGAGAGATGAAAGAGAGCTAATTTTGGACTCTAAAATCTGATATGGTATGTTTTTAGTTGATACCTTCTTTCCTTTCTTTCTTTATTTTTCTGTTTTTTTTTAGCTAAGCTAAAATCTTATTAGTTATTGTGGGTGGTGAACTCTTGACAACCAATGAGAAACTTTTAGAAACCCATCATTTCTTCTAATTCGACCCCAAACATTTTTAAAATCATGCTCTAGAACCCATGTTTTCAAAAAGAATTATGTCGTAGGTTTCGTATTTGCCAAAATTATAAATTTGGCCCTGAATTATATTTTTATAAAAATTTTCTCCTTAACTAATTTCAATGCTCTAATTAAGAATTCAATGCTAGAAATTCCACCAAAAATTTTACTTCGTTAGTCTACACCATCCACTACAAGAATTTGAATTTTTTGTTACCAAAAGCCCTGTTTTGGTAGCAAAATGTTTTTGTTACCAAAAAATTTTGGTAGTAAAAAGTGGGTAGCAGAAAGTATTAGTTACCAAAATTTTGGTAGCAAATAGTTTTTGCTACCAAAAAATCTTTTGGTAACAAAATGTATTTGGTAGCCAAATGTATGATATTCGGAGACCAAAAGTTTCGGTAGCAAAATATATTTGGTAGCAAAAAGTGTGAGCTTTTACTACTAAAATTTTAGTAGCAAAATATATTTGGTAGCAAAAAGTGTGAGCTTTCTGCTACCAAAATTTTAGTAGCAAAATATATTTGGTAGTAAAAAGTGTGAGCTTTCTACTACCAAAATTTTGTTAGCAAAAAGTATGAGCTTTTTGGTCACCAAAACTGAGACAGATACCTATATTTTTTGAAAAAATATATATAAATAAAATATTAAATATTAATTTAAAAATCTCTAAATATTTCAATACATATTAGAATCCAAACAAAATACTAAAATAGTCATACTTAAACAAACCCAAACACTCATACAAATATTGTACTAGTAAAATCTTAATATTACAAAAATTAAACGCTCTAACAAATTGAGGCCGATGGTGGCGGTGGCGGAAGATTTTTTCTTCTTAGGACGGAATGTCCAGGATGATTTGACGGCGTATTTATCTATTGAGGTAGCTTTTGAATAAGCTCTTGTTGTTGCTTCATTCGATAGTGCGTCTAATATATATCTACTCCATTCCAAGAGGTAATGAATCAGGAGAGGTAAACAAGCGTGCATAATTTTCAGATGCTCTGTAAACAAGCACGCATAATTTTCAGATGCTCTGTAAAAATAAGATTCTGTAAACAAGCGCCTATAGTGGTACAAATTCTCAGATGTTCCTTTTTCAACTCGCTAATTTCTAGAATATCCCACTAAGAATGCTCCTTAAAATTAGTCATTAACAGCACTTTAGGATGCGCAAACCCAGTAATTTGCCTAACGCCTTACAAAACTAAGGATGGAGAAAAAGAAAAAATCAAACCAAGACAAGACTTCGCAAAACGGACTGCTTTCTTCAGTGCAGGCAACAAGCAAAAGAAAATATGTATAAGAAAAAGAAACAGAGGTGTTCAAGTAATAAAAGTACCTCCAACAGCAACAAGCTTCTCTACAAGTGCAACTGTATGTTTTCCGAAAGTGTATTTTTTTTAGAGCATTCAGATGAACCTTTATACGATTAAGGATTAGTTCAAGTTGATGGTCATCACAAGTTTCTAGCACTTTCTATACAACATAGTTCGCAAACTGATATTTTTTGCCACTAAATTTTAATTTAATAGTAGAAAGATATATATTAAAAATTAAAATATATATATTTTGATGATAAAAATTATTTTAGATTCATTGTTCTAGTAATATTATCATAAAAATATAGTTTTAAAATTGAAATAAATTATTTTATGTTAAAAAACAATCAAATAATAAGATTATATATTACTCTAATTAATAAAATCATATATATATATATATATATAATATGAACATGTCTTTTGTTACACTTATATAAAATAACTGAATTATTAAACACTTGTTATACAAAATATACTAGGATGATTGTTAAACTTAATTTAGCAAAAGAAAAATAAAAGCACAAAATATAAGTTTTAAAGTTTTTATACGATTTGCTACCAAACACAACTTTTGGTAGCAAAAAAAGACCTTTTCGCCACCAAAATATGAATTTGGTAGCATAATCATGTTTTCTGCTACTAAAATTAGGTACCAGAAAATTATGTTTTTTTTTTACCAAACATTATTTTAGTAGCCAAAAGTATATTTTTTGCTACCAAATATTAATTTGGTACCATAAAGACATATATTAAAAATTAAAAAAACATTTTAATGAGAAAAATTATCATTGGTCTAGTAACATTATAACAAAAAATATAGTTTTGAAATTGAAATACATTATTCTATGTTAAAAAGCAATCAAATAGCAAGATTATATACTACTCTATGTGAAACGTATACTAAATTAATAAGATCATATATATATATATAACATGAACATGGTTCTTGTTATACCTACACAAAATAACTAAATTATTAAACACTTGTTATACAAAATATACTAAGATGATTGTCAAAACTTAATATAGGACATATTTATGGAAAACAAAAAAAAAAACAATACATGCACAAAATGTAAGTTTTAAAGTTTTTATATGATTTGCTACCAAACACAACTTTTGGTAGCAAAAAGTGCATTTTTGTCACCAAAATAAGAATTTGGTAGCAGAATCATGTTTTCTGATACCAAAATTTGGTACCAGAAACTTATATTTTTTGTTACCAAACATTGTTTTGGTAGCTAAAAGCATATTTTTTGCTACCAAATATGAATTTAGTACCAGAAATACGTATATTAAAAATTAAAAAAATAACATTTTAATGACAAAAATTATTTTAGAATCATTGTTCTAATAATATTATAACAAAAAATGTAGTTTTGAAATTAAAATACATTATTCAAAGTTAAAAATCAATCAAATAGCGAGATTATATACTACTTTATGTGAAACATATACTTAATTAATAAGATCACATATTGTACATATGAATATGTCTCTTGTTACACCTACACAAAATAACTAAATTATTAAACACTTGTTATACAAAATATACTAGGATGATTGTTAAAACATAATAGAGGACATATTTATGGAAAACAAAAAACAAAACAAAACATGCACAAAATGTAAGTTTTAAAGTTTTTATATGATTTGCTACCAAACACAATTTTTAGTAGCAAAAAACGATTTTTGTCACCAAAATCAGAATTTGGTAGTAAAATCATGTTTTTTGCTACCAAATTTGGTACTAGAAACTTATGGTTTTTGTTACCAAACATTATTTTGGTAGCTGAAAGCATATTTTTTGCTACCAAATATGAAATTAGTACTAGAAAGACGTATATTAAAAATTAAAAAAATAACATTTCAATGTCAAAAATTATTTAAGAATCATTGTTCTAATAACATTATAACAAAAAATGTAGTTTTGAAATTGAAATACATTATTCAAACCTAAACATCAATCAAATAACGAGATTATATACTACTCTATGTGGAACATATACTTAATTAGTAAGATCACATATGTGTACACATGAACATGTCTCTTGTTACACCTACACAAAATAACTAAATTATCAAATAATTATTATACAAAATATGCTAGGATGATTGTTAAACTTAATATAGGACATATTCATAAAAAATTAAAAAAAAAATAATACAAGCACAAAATGTAAATATTAATGTTTTTATATGATTTGCTACCAAACACAACTTTTGATAGTAAAAAACGTCTTTTTGTCACCAAAATAAGAATTTGGTAGTAAATTCTTATTTTATGCTACCAAAATTTGGTAGCAAAAAATTAAGTTTTTTGGTAGCAAAAACTTGATTTTTCGCTACCAAATTTTGGTGGCAGATAGTTACATTTTTCTTCCAACACTTTTGTAGCAAATGTTATAGGTTTTGCTACCAAAAATAATTCGATAGCAAATACCTCATGCGGGAAAAAATTTTGCTTCCCGCCAAGTTTTTGTTACCAAAACATGTTTGGCAGCAAAAAAGTAACATTTTGCTACCAAATTTTTAGTGGCAGAATCTTATGCTTTTGTTACCAAATATTATTTTGGCAGCAAAAACCTATTGACGGGAACCAAATTTCATTTCCCGCCATGTTATTTATTATCAAATTTTATTTGGTAGCGGATTCTATTGTTTTTGCTACCAAACTTGGTAACTAAAGCCTTGATACTTTCAGCTACCAGAGTTTGGTAGCAAAAAGTGTGCTTTCTGCTACCAAAAATTTTTTAGTATCAAAAAGTTTGGTCTCTTAAAGTGATTATTCTTGTAGTGATCTCTCACGTAAAAATAATTTATACCACCACTTTCACGTTGATCTTGTACATTTATGGTGTTTCATGATCTTCACTAGATTATTTAGAAATTTGAGTAACTCGCAATTTCTCAAATTTCTAAAGGCTCAAAATTAATTATTTTTTATTCTTGTACATCATAGAATATCATAAGCTAATTATCGAAATAATCGAGTAATCAAAAATTCATTGACCATTAACTTAAATAAGGAATCTCAATAATTCCTTGTCATACATGAAACATAGTCATAAACATAAGGTTTAGGGTATTTCATAGTTGCTTTTATCATTTCATTATTAAAGCGAGTGGTTATGCATCTATACTTAAGTTGTTATGGATCAATTTCAACGGTTGAACTGCCAACAGTAGCGTCAATTCTTGGCCTGCAATTGTGGAATACAAAAGTCCTGTTCTATCTACTTCACGTACTACGCATTTATGATTCAAATGTATATTGATTTTTCTAAAAAGAACTTGGCTATAAATATTTTCAGCTGAAACGGCCTCCCAATTTGCTTTTTGACTCGTGTTTAATTTAAAGAATTTGGGTCACTCAGACTCTAGGACTAAACTTTATCTAATTTAAACTTTAAAAACTCTCGTTTTGTAAACTAAACTTTAAAGTAATCTCATCTAATCCTCTTTATTAGTAGAAATTCTATCACAAAACAGACCGACAACATAAAAAACACACGGGAAAAATATCAAATGACCACACCTATACCCGTCTTTTTTTTATCAGTTTTTGATAGAAAATCTAATAAGTTCGGTTAAATGAGACTAATTCAAACTTTAAGGATAAAGCGAAAATTATTAAAGTTTGTGCGGTAAAATGGGAATGACCATAAAGTTTAGAGGGCAAAGGTAAGACTAACACTTAATCTATTTACATCTTCTGCTGACTTGGGTTTATTTTGTGGTATTATATGTTACAAAAATCAACATTATAGGTACTACCTTTGCCAACCGGAGAAGATCTTGGTTTCAATGTCATTCTACCCCCAACCTTTTGAATGAACTTCGCAATCAGAAAGAGCTACAGCAGGGAAGAAGTATAGTGGGGCAACATTAATTAAGATTTTAGATAGATTGGACTACACTAATACTTGGGGGGTAAAAGTTATGAGCTACTGAGCTTGAAGCAATTTTTAAAAACTATAGGTTACTTGAATATTACACACAATCATACACATCAAATATATATAAAGTAAATGATAAATTTGTGTTGGAATGAGAGGGGGGAAAAAACTGATCTATTAATAGTATTGAAATTGAAAGTTGTTACTTCAACGGTCTAGGGAATAAGAAAATGAAAAACAACGGTTTAGTTTGAAGAACTCCAAGCTTGAGGTGATTTTTGTATAACTGCTAAGCTAGTCAAATTTTCGATGAGGTAATTCTGAATTTCTAACTAGTTATATGCTCAAAAACCTTTGTCGCGACTCTGAAGACTTTTAAGACAAAGGTAAAGCAACCGGTATCTAATCCCTAAAATGAATGACGACAGTATCCATATTGGCATGCTAAGTGTACAAGCTGAAACTTAGGGTAAACCCAAAATTAATTAATCAAATGAGATATTGTCTCCTCAGGTATAAATAAACAACAAAATTCATCTCTGAATCCCATGGCAAATTTTCATTATCCGTGAATTTTTTAGTGACAACAAATTTCGTTGCTATATGTCAAAATTTCTGTCCAGGACTTTTAGCCACAACATTTATCATTGATAAAAGGACGTTTTTTTAATTTAAAATTCCATTCTACTTTTAACAACGACAAATGTTGTCACTAAAAAATCCATGCTTCCGACCCTAAAGCTTTTCTATTTGTCCCGTTTCTTCCTTTTTAACTTATATTCCTCCCATCTCCCTACCACCGCCTCAATCCAGGGCTTTGCCACTGCCCCCTTCCACCACCCTTCTCTCATCAACAATGTGCTCCCTGAAGTCTATTTGTTTTTTTTTTCCCCTTTTTTAAAAAAAGAAAAATTAACTCAATGAATTTAGAAACACATAGCAATTAAGAGTACGTACACCCTCTAAACCCAAAATTAATTAATCAAATGAGATATTGTCTCCTCAGGTATAAATAAACAACAAAATTCATCTCTGAATTCCCGTGGCAAATTTTCATTATCCGTGAATTGCTTAGTGACAACAAATGTCGTTGTTATATGTCAAAATTTATGTCCAGGACTTTTAGCCACAACATTCATCATTGGTAAAAGGACGTTTTTTTTTTAATTTAAAATTCAATTCGAGTTTTAACAACAACAAATGTTGTCGCTAAAAGATCCATGCTTCCGACCCTAAAGCTTTTCTATTTGTCCCGTCTTCTTCATTTTTAACTTATATTCTTCCCATCTCCCTACCACCGCCTCAATCCAGGGCTTTGCCACTGCCCCCTTCCACCACCCTTCTCTCATCAACAATGTGCTCCCTGAAGTCTATTTGTTTTTTTTTACCTTTTTTTTTACAATTAACTCATTGAATTTAGAAACACATGGAAATTAACAGTACGTACACCCTAATTGGTTGTGGATTTTTCTTTTACTGACATTAACATTTGAAGTTCACATGAATCGTTAATCACTTCGCTTATTCATGTCTTTAACTAACGACCCATACACGTATTAATTTATACATCAATTAGGATATTTTTGCCAAATATTTCTAAATTCAAAGCGTAATTTTGAAATTCTTCGACAAAGATATGTGGGGAAAAAAAAAATCATCCTGAGCTGCTTCAAGAATATCATCACCAACAATATCCCAACAATGCTATGAGAACGAAATTATGGCCGAGTCTCAGGCTATGGCTGTATCACAACCCAATTAATACGAATATGCGTGAAATTGTGTCTTATATTCTTCCAACGATGAAGAATGAAGAAGTGGCACTCTCTTAACTATAATATCAATAATTTAGAGACACACATATTCGTGACAATTTCATTTTCCGTCCAAAATTTGTGATCATATAGACAATTTCATTTTTACACAACAACTCACATATTCGAATGGCGTGTCATACATTCAGCTCGTTCGAACTACAATGCTATTGGTCCGCATCATTCATTATAGACGGCAAGTATTGGTTGCGCGCATTAATTTGTGTTTTGTATAGTCCTATGGGCCAGAAAAATAAAGTCATATCTACTTTCAGAAGAAAAAGAAAAGGACATATCATCTACAGACAAGAACATAAAATAAATTGAATGAATCACCATCCTACCTAGGATATATGTAACATATTTACTAACAAGGGTTGGCCATTGAAAAATACTTATAATTCGAAAGACTAGCAATATCTTTAACTGAAAGGTTAGGACAAACATATAAATAAATATACATACATATATATATATATATATACACACTTTTTACGGACTCAAATACAATGAAGTATAGTAAAGTGTTAAAAAGAATTTCAAACTTCTTAGATGACACGACATAATATTATTAGTAAGTCACCATTAATTTAAGCATCAAAATTTAAATAAGTACTAATCTAAATTCGTTTTTATACAGACGTAAGAACGGACTAGTGCGGCTCGACCTAGCCATTCTCCGAAGGCCCCACGCGAGTCATGGGTCAGGTCTGGTCGGCCCATGTGCCGAGGTATGTCAACCCATTAGCATTGATGGGCTAAGCCCGCGTGCTTTAAACAGTGCCATGTCTTACCATGCCGCTTTAATACTATATTAAGATAGGTTTGGGCCAGC